AATGTGGTCTTTTCCTGCAGTCTCTTGCTCTTCATAAATTATGGTTTGCAGAACTTTGCACTAGGGAATAATATTTAATACATTTATTTTCAAAGACTTGTTTCTTTTGTTATCTTTAGTGAAGGGAAAATGACACAGGGTTTAACAAGTATTTAAATAACAGATACTTTGAGATGCTCACTATGTCAATATTTATATGGCATTTTAAAACTAGAAGTAAAATTATGTTTCCTTTATTTAGATTAAACCAGTTGTGACTAATTTAGTATCCTCGAAATGTGCATAATGCCAAAAGAAAGAGATAAACAGATTTTTAAAAAAACATACTAAAAGATACTATCAAATTGACCTTGGGTTCACCGGTATTAAATGTGTCCTTTCCAATATCCCAAAGTTCTGTATTTTTTTAAACTGGTTATGCAGATTACTCCCTTAAGAAAATAAAAAATAGCAATTTATCTGGGCTGTACATGGTGGATAGTGTTGCCACTAAAAAGAATCCAGGACATTTTTCCTTCTTATCTGCAGTGTAGCTCATATCAGCCAACCTGTCACAAGATAGTACCTGATATAAACAAGAGATTGCTAAGACATCTCAGTAATCAATATCAGGATGGCTACAGTATGGAAACCCCAACCAGTGCATATCATTTGTCTCAGCATCTATTTCTATGGCCAAATGAAGCATTAATTCAAATCATAAATCTATGGTGATTTAAATCTGGGAATGAGCACCTGCCTGCTTTAATGATTTATTTTGTACATTTCAGTAAGCAGGAGATTTGTCCATATGAACTGACAGGTCACCTTCAGATGCCAGGAGCAGACTGTTTATCACCATGCAGACTAGCATCTCATCTTAGCAAGTAAATATTAAACTAAAAGAATCCAATTGATTGTGGGTGAAGGAGAATGGCGACATGGTCATATATTTTACTCAGCATTGCTGATGCCTCATTCAGATCTATCCTGAGGTCCTCAGTTCTCCTAAAGTGCTCATTCTGTTGGAAAGATGTAAGCTTAAGGTTATCATGCAAAATTGCTATAGACAACAATTACTTGTCAGCATCAAAGATTTCTTTTCTGGGCTCATTTTTAAGGTTCATATTAGCACTGAAAAGGTTTAGCTGTAATAATATTATCTTGTCATTTAACCAAGCCAAGTCTAACCAAACCAAGCAAAATCAAAATCTGTATTCTAGAGTTATAAGAATGTATTTTGCCACCTGAGATAAGAGGAAGCAATTTTCCTATAAAGGAAAACCAAGAATGTTGAAGAGTGGAAGTTGTAAACCAGATTAGTATAGAAAGTAAAAGAAAAAAAAAAGGTAGTAAGTAGACTTTAAAAAAATGTCCCTGATCTGGACAAAACGAAGGAGCAATGATACGTCATTTAAGTAGCACTTCTCTGAAGGGATTCATTGCTTTGAGGGGACAACTGACAGATTCATGAGCACTAAGTTTGTATCTGAAATATTGGTTTGAGATTCCTGGGATTCCTTCTAGAGTTCATATACCTTAACAGCACTCCTTTCCATCCTCTAGTGATGTATTCTGGAGGATCTCACACAGTCTCTTATGGCTGCTGGCTTATTTCTCAATCTTGCACAGAACCTATGCCCCTTCAGGGCTGGGCCAGTATTAGATTATTTTTATATTCTTAGAGTGAGCTAAAATCAACTAGACAGCAAAATTTGAGAGATGTAATAGATGCCACCCCCTCAGTTCCCACACAGACCTGCCGCTTAAGGGGTAATAGCTAGCAGACAGAATAGAAACACAGGAGGAACACATGAAGGGAGGGGGGAAAGGAAAATGGTGATTTTCCAGCAAGGCAAGTTGAAAGAACTATTAACTATGACAGCAATGCAAAGGTTTCAACAATGTGATCAGCAGACCTTGCTCTAGTGAAATAAATGCTAGCAAATATATTTTAATTTTCATGATTTTGACAATATTATTTATACCATGTTCCACACGTGGCATTTTTGGATCAGAAGTTGACATAACTTTCCCAAGTCACAGGGAAAGTAATTACTGAACCCTTAACAAAGTGGCAGGTTATTGTCTGGTTCTAAGGAACCAGAGTAGGAAAAAAAAAAGAAAGAAAGAAAAACCTGCTCAGGTCAGCAAATGCTTTGATCTAAGAGAACTCTGCTCTCAGCTTCTCCACTGATCTTTACACTTTCCCACCACCATGCTGTCTGTCAAGACTTGCTTTCTCTGCTCTCTAGATATATATGTAGGGGTGGAGATGCTAGGAAGGGTAATAGCACAAGGTATAAATTCTTAAAGAACAGTAGCATATGAAAGTAAAAGGAAAATGACAATGAGGATTTTTTTGTACTGTCCAAATCAGCTAAAGATATCTACAATATCAATGATGTACACGCTTTAGGGACAGGCAATGGCTATACATCGCAAACTAGTAAAACCTTCTAGGAAAATTCAAGTAAATCTCTGCTCCCAGTTCAAATTGATGTGGGTGATATGTGTCAAGGCTAAAAAGCAGTGCAAGCTATCAATTGAATACTTACCTGAAAGAAAACTTTCATCCAAATGAAATCCAATGGGTAATTTAAATCATTTATACATTCAATTATTATGATATCATAGGTGCCTAAATAATGTAAGGTAGCTTTAGTTTTTTCAGTAGCCAAGTGTTATGACTAAGTATCAAATATTAAATATGTTAATATTTAATATTAAATATGTTAATGCTTCATGTTAAATAGGTTAAATATGTTAGTGCTTCATTATGATCCATGTTCCTGTTAACTTCTGCCTGTTAGTTGTGCCAATGAACTCCACTCTGCTGTCCAGGAACTGCAAAGATACCATTCCTTAATAAATGTTATTTTAAATGTTTTGATATTTTCCATTTCAAAAATCTTTCCTCAAAGCACTTTCAAGAACAGCCTATTCTCAACTTTTGAAACTAGTCCAGAACATATCTCAAAATAGAAATCATCATTTATAGTGGCCAGTAGCTTATTCTTGAACAATTTCAATGTTGGCTCATTCAATAAGCCAAAGCAAAAGACTTTTATTTTAAAGCAATTAATATTTGACATTTCTAAGAACAGAATTATAATTCTTTCATTTTGACTGAACTAATGACTTCAATTTCATTTTTTAATTTAATTTAATTATTTTGAATTATTTACTTTAGTGGTACTAGGGTTTTGAGTCAGACCTTCATACTTGCTGGGGAAGAACTCAACCACTGTAGCCAGTCTGCAGCTTTGCTGAAGTTGTATGTTGATAGGTTCTCTTGCTTTTAGCCAAGGCCTGATCTTGCACCATGATCTTCCCTATCTCTGCCTCCAGAGTAGCTGAAATCATAGGCATGCACCACCACGCCTGGCTCTGCTTTAAATTCTACATATCTAAATATATATATGTGTCAACCATGACCTAAACAATCCTTTGCCCTCTAGGTCAGCTCCATAGAAAGGTTTAGAAATTCAAACCTTTATTTATATTGCTACCACCACGACCATCTACTCTGAATTCAGACCTCTGCTGCTAGAATTTCCAATAGTCCTTATGAGAACTCCCTGAGATTTTCTGTTTGTTTGTTTTCCTCTCATCTTTTACACTAGAAACTGCTCTTAACGAGTAATAGTAAGAACTACAGCATTCTTTCCTATACCCTTAACTGTCTTAATGGTCTGAAAGGAGTAGAGTTGTTGACTAACATTAAATAATCTGCTGAATACTACATGGAAGAGAAATTTTAATCAAATTATCACAAATTTTTCCCCTTTATTAGCATATCTTAGATATGCTCCCTTGAAAACTTTTTACAAGATCAAGATGTCTCATTAGATGTATTTTGAGCATGGTTTCTACAGTAGAGAGAGAAATAAAGCAGTATCATAATATAAGATAATGTTTGGCCTTATTAACACCCAGATTTTAAAATATCATTAACAAAAGAATTAAACCATGGAGGGGGACCCTATCTGACAATAAAGTTACTCAAATGACTATCTGGCAAAGGTCAGAGTGTTATTTGGTTTCACTGTGACAGTTAACTTTTGTGTCTTTTCTCCACACAGCAAGAAAGAAAAACTAGCAAGAAAAATGCAAGTTACATTTTTAAATGATATAGGCACTTATAATGATGGAAGATAAAACAATTATTCAAAATAAACCTTATTCTTGACAGGACATGAGAAAGGATTAGGTTACAGGAGTCTCTCTATATCCATGATTGTGTGTGTGTATGTGTGTGTGTTTTTGTGTGTGTGTTTGTGTGTGTGTGTGTGTGTGTGTGGTTTCAGTTATCCTTGGTTAATTTTAATCAAACAATACTATAAAATAATTCAGAAAATTTAAATAACTTTTGCATTGCTTGGGATCAAACCCAAAGCCTTAGGCATGCCAGAAAAGTGCAAATTAAAAAAAAAATCATTACAGTATATTGTTGTAACCTTTCTATTTTATTATTAATTATTCTCAGTAATTTTTTACTGGGACAAGTTTATAAGTTAAACTTTATCATAGATATGTGCATAATGTAATATGTGCAGAATTCAGTACTATCTACAGTATTAAACATTCATTGGGGTCATGAATCATGTCTCTTTTTATTTTGCTGCTAATTATAATAAATGCCTAACTTCATAACAAATGCACTAGAAAAAATAAAATTAGAGCATATAGAATTTGGTATGTATTATTTTTTCTGTCATCACAGCTGCACTCAAGATTTTTGAAATGTCTATCAAAGTTTACTTGTACTATGAAACATGTCCATTCACTACTTACAGTAGACATAAAATAGGTCCTATAATAATAAAAAAAAAAATGCTGCTGCTTCTAATCACTTGAGAACATGTTCTCTCCAAACAAAATGGTATCCTCAAAGCATACACAGGGTCCAAGGGAAAAAATGCCAACTTTTGAAGGTGCCACCAATGGTTCTTTTTTGGAAAAGGAAGCAATTCCATACCAAGGTGATCATGACCCGTTTCAATGAGTAGAATACTCACCAACACTTGAATTCATGTCTCCGTTTTCAGAATCAGCTCCATGTTGGTTATTACTGGCATGATAGTTGCTCATAGCTTCTAATTTGATTTTTTTCACCTTCATTGCTTCCGCGATGGCTGCGTTGGTAGCAGCGGCAGCTGCTGCAGCTGCTGCTGTCAGACCTTCAAAGAATGAATTAGAAATGAAGTAATTCAAATTCTGATTCTTTCAGGTAATAGTCCAGTACTTTATGTAACTCACACACAAGCATATATTAGAGTCCTTGATTTTTTAATTGAACACCAATAGCATATTTATTCTCAGCTAACCAATAAAATATATTGACATAAGGAGACAAATGTCCTATACACTCCCCAAATATTAGCAAAAACATAATTCCAGTTATCTCTCAGAGAAATGAGTCTGTTTTAGTTCTCAATGTATGTATGTGGAAAATGGAATAGGGAAACTGGAGGGGATGGGTGGGATTGGGATAAGTTTGAGGGAACACGATGAACCAAGATGCATGGAACACACAAATGGACATGCTACATTAAAACTTCTCCATACAACTACTTAAAGACAATTAAAAATAAATTTTAAAGATGGAAATACAGTAGGCCAAAACAATAATTTTTTAAGTAAATCCAACTGAAAGAAAAATCAAGAAACCACTCTAAAGATGTCATTCCCTGGTTAAATACTCCTACAGATGCCATAAAAAATGAGGAAAAAATCTAAACTGTCAGCTTCATCCACAAAGCATTTATCTGAGTTTATCTCAAAGTTCATTGCCCAAATTTTCCTCATTACTGCAGCGGGCCGCAGGTAGGATATATCAAACACATCACCATTCCCCATACATGGCCTGCTCTTCAAATCTCTACTTAACCTCCATAGCATTGTCTTTGTCATGACTCACATCCTGGAAATCCCATCATTCAGGAAAATCTTACCCACGTTTGTGAGTCTTGCTCTCCATCTCTCCTAAGCCAGTGGATACCTGCCTACTTCCCTCAGCCTGGACGATGTCTCTTCTTCACCATAGAATAGGTCATGCAGCACCACCTATGTCTGTCCATGCATACTCTCTTCAGTTGATAGTAAACTACACACTGGATGGAGCACATGAGACTACATAATTTGGTAGTCCAAAGATACTTAAGAAAAAAAAAACAATAATGGCAAATACTTTGCTCCTACATAGTAATAATAAGTGCTAATTTAGAGGACATAAAAGTAGTATAATCACCTTTCTAACACAGTAGTATTCATCTGTTCTCCTTAGCAGATTAGGAAACTTACAGATTTAAAGATGTGTGTAGTACATTCTAGTTGTCGATTATAACCTGTATTTCATGTTTATCCAGAACGGTTTGTTTCTGTTTATACAGAAAAGAAAAAGTATAGTAGAGATGGATTAAAAAGAGGATCTAAGACAAGATCTTGGAAGTACAGAATGTTGGAGCCATTCTATTCAGGTTTTAACTAAAAGGTGTGGAAAAGGGGTGGAGAAGGGGAATGGGTGGAGGCAGACAAAGACAGAGACAGAGGATAGGAGATGTTTGTGAACAGGACAGTAATTTATCTCTTTTTAATGTATGAACTTTTAGAAGATCAATTCAAACCAGCCTGGAATCCCTCATGTATAAAATGACACAGGCTGGATTATGTGAACAGCGTCTCCTAATTTAGAACTTTATAGGATGCATATGCTTTCTTCACTCCCACATTGTTGTTGTTGTTGTTTTTTTTTTTGCTAGAGCTGACATCATATTTCTGACTACAGTGTTCCAACCCTCTTTGAAACCATCTATGGGATTTTTATTTTCCATTCTCAGCTGGTGGAAAGAATGAGCCCTACTCTTCTCCTCTCTTCCTCATAATCACCACTTCTAGTAACTATAGAAAAAGAGTCCCAGCCCAAAGAATTACGTGAAAGTCTTCTTCAGTGGAAATCTCTATGTATGAACAGAGTAAAAGACTCCACCCACTTTCCCTTTAGATCTGTACAAAGAGGTCCTGGCCACATTTACCCAAAAGTATCAAGACTCAGATTGGATCTTTGCATGAAAAACTGATAACCACCTCCTTAAAAGGCACTGATCTAAATTCAAAGAATCCATCTGGGTTGAGTCTGAACCTTCATTGCCTTTTAAGTCCCAAATTGAACTGATTCTCTCATCTTCCTATGATTGAATTTTTCTCCCCAATTACTCATTTCCTTCAAAGATGTTTCAGAGCACTTTCTTTCCTGTTCTCTTAAAATCCTCTTTGTGTTTCCCAGAACAGAATCTCTTTCTCTTGATTTTTCCTTGTCATTAATATGAATATCCCATTTGTCCTTTCCTGTATGAGTAATGTTAACCCATCTCCAATTTAAGACACATCTCAGGGCTGAGAATTTATGGTGTAGATGAATCTCATTTATGATATTCAAATAATCAAGAAAAAACATACAAGTTGAGATAAAACTATTATCACCTGAATCCATATAAGTTAAGTAACATAATGAAGAACTGTGCAAGCTCTGATTTTGGAAAATCCATAAAATTTGGGTCTGTTTTCTTCTGTGAAAGCAATCTCATACCAAAGGGAAAATGTAAGTTTTGGGTAAGAACTACATGAGGAATGCAAGAACAGGTTTAGTCAAACAAGAGATGTTGTTCATTCTATTTCTTCCATAAGAATATCCATCTCTGAGGATCTTTATATTATATTTTTGGGCTGAATGCCCCCTGTGTGTGTATGTATGTATGTATGTGTGTGTATGAGTGAAAACTGGAACTTGAACTCAGGGCCTGGGTAGTCTCCCTTAGCTTTGTGGCTCAAGACTAACACTCTACCACTTGAGCCATTGCTCCACTTCTGGAATTTTTGGAAGTTATTTGTAGATGAGAGTCTCATGGACTTTCCTGCCTGGTCTGGCTTTGAACCACTTTTTTTAAGATCTCAGCCTCTGGAGCCACTAGGATTACAGGCATAAGGCACTGGCACAGGTCTCCTAATCTAGGAGATCTACGCTTGTCTTGAGGTGACTGTCTTGATTTTGAAAATTGCTTTTTTGTAACTTTTTACCTAGTTGATTTTAATCTTTCATTTTGCTGTTTCACATTCTTTCCTAGTTTTACATTTCTAATGCAGCTTCTCTCTCTGCCTCTCACACACAGTGTAACTTAACTATAATGCTATTTAATATTCTATTTTAGATTAGTTTGGAGAACAGAGGAAGAAACAATGACATATGCAAGCGTTTCTGATTTTTGTTTTACTAAATCTCCTTGGTGTTTGATGGGCTTTAATCTTTCAATATCTTTTGAAGTCTCTGTTTCCACTGCCCCTAAAAGCACAGAATTCTGTATTTTATTATCTAACCTCATTTCCTCTGCCACCCTAAACACAAACTTCCATCATTTCTCTCATAGTTCTATGATAAAATTCTTAATGGCTTCTCCTTCTCCCACGTCCAATCTCTTATTATATAGCAATTAATACAACTTTCAGATGATAATCCTTAGGATCAAGTTCAATGGTTCACCTGTTTGTCAGAGTTCTTAATGTTCAGTTCCATGACTATCCATGCAAAATCATGCCTAGCTCTACCTTGAACACTGTGCTCCAGATAGGTAGATCCTTCAGCTCCTCCAGTACACCACATTATTCCTTCTTTCAAGTCAATCTTCACTTCTAGAGAAGTGTGATCTCAGGTCTCCTACTCTACACCTGTCTATGTCATCTTCATATGATAGCCTAAATATTACACCTTCAGAGAAGTAGGGCCAGATTCCTAACTCCTCACTGTCTAACTTAGAAAGAGCTATCAACCTTTCCACAACTAACTCAAAGATTACTCTTTCCAAGAGCTATACCATGCGAGTTAGTGACCTGCCAGCTTGTGTGGTCATCCTTGCAGGAGGTGAACTTACCATTCCTAGCGGTGCATCAGAACCAGCCACAGAGCTCTCAAACCATGAAAGCGATAACCTTTACAATCCCAGATTCTAATTCAGTATGGGCACATTTTAAATGAGTTTCATTGCTTTACAGGTCATTTTAATGTACAGTCTGAATAAAGCAAACCATTCACTTGAGAGGGGAAAGAGAAGCAGATCTAAGGGAGATGGGCAAGTGATAACATCAAAACGGTAATAATAATAATATTTTTAAAAATCTTCTTAGTATGGGCATATCAAACATTTACCACAGTATTTGCCATGGATTGCAGTAAAAGAAAAAGTATTCCTCAACCCAGACTATAGATAAAATGATCATTATTTTGGCAATGTCAATGGAAAGTAATTTAACACATTATTTTTATGCTAGAACAAATGTGGAGCAGCAAATCTAATCAATTTATTCTGATGCATAAATTTCCACAGGTACATCTTCAAAAGCTGGAAAGATCACAGAATGTACACACACACACGCACACACACACACACACACACACCACTTCATATTTCCCAATCTCATGTCTCTACCCAACTTTTTGATAGAAAATAGTTGGGTATCTATAAATGAGCCTCAGTTGAAGTCCTGTTGTATATGCTTGTTGTTCGCTAAAGAGTTTTTTATTGTGTGTGTGTGTGTGTGTGTGTGTGTGTGTGTGGTTTTTTTTTTTTTTTTGCCAGTCATGGGGCCTAAACTCTGGGCCTGGGCACTGTCCCTCAGCTCTTCAGTTCAAGGCTAGCGCTCTACCACTGGAGCCACAGCGCCACTTCTGGCTTTTTCTGTTTATTTGGTGCTGAGGAATCGAACCCAGGGCCTCATGCTTGCAAGGCATGCACTCTACCACTGAGCTACGTTCCCAGCCCCCCCTAAAGAGTTTTTTAAAAAATAACAAAGTTATTCAAAGCTTTGATCTCTAATATATAGAGAATCCAAACAATGACAACAAATTTTATGTGATCAATGGTTCACTCATGTAATCAAAGGTGACCCATAATATCTACCATGCTTTAGCACCATTTATAATCCTTTTCTTCTTACTTCTATTCCCTCTGTGCCTCAGGTTCCACTAATGTGAGATAAAATAATCTAAGATTTAGATAAATATCTGGTACTACAAACAAAAAACCCTTATATTAAAACTCACATGAAATATATAACTGCATAGTAAATGCTTACTAAACAAGGTCATCAATTCTGTGGCTTTCATCATTAAGAACGGTGCAAACAGCCC